TCTGGCAGAGCACCGTGGTTTCCCCAGCCCACACTCCTGGACCAGTCAGTGTAGCTGTCGGCACCAGAGCAGCTGAACTGCAACACAGTTTACAAAACATGAGGACAGAAGCAAAGACATGTCTATTTAGGATGTAAAATGTTGACCAAGGTTTCTAAGGAACACTGACTTTTCTCTAGGTGTTTGAATTTTCACACTTACATTTTTTTTTAAACAGAACCATTTGCATCATATTTGCTACATAAGAGACCTATAGCTTATCAACATCAGCAATTACTTCCCTTAAAACCTGTTGTATAGGATCTGATACACACATTTCACTGCCTAGTGGATAAGGTTTAGGGTTGTATATATAGTACAGGGGTGCCCAAACTGTTCCATAAAGGGCCGCTGTGGCTGCAGGTTTTTGTTCCAACCAAGCAGTAGCACACCCGAGTTGACAGGTTTAATCAACTGGTCAGCCTTCAGACAGCTGATTGGTCAAACCATGTGCTCTTGGTTGGTTGGAAGAAAAACCTGCAGCCACATGGCCCTTTGAAGAAAAGTTTGATCATGTCTGACATAGTATATAAATACATATAGCGACATATACATACAGACAGAGACAGTGGAGTGAATAAAACATTTATTGAAATAATGCAAGTTAATCAGATTTGAACCTAAAGAAAACAAAAACATTTATTAAAAAAAAATCAGAATAATACTAAAACTCTAATAACTAGTGCAGAAAGCTAAAATTAAAATTAAAACAGTGTGCTGGGGGATCAGTGGGAGGCAGACTACTGGAAATGTGCCTCTTGAAACTAGTGGGTAGTGGTTCAACACTACAGGAATAACTGCAAAACATTCACTAAACGCATGCAACAAGAGAGAAGTCCTCACCAGTGTCACCACAATGCCTGGCCTCCCACATGACCAAGCCAATGCCACCTAATCAAAAGTAGGAACAAAAAGAAACTTCCTGAAACAAAATGAGCACAAAGCTAACAAAACACCAACTGATAATTGAACATACATCACCAGAGACCAGCAAGAGGGGAATCTGTGCCATTCTGAGGCCTTTTATACTACACCTGGTTGGGGGGAGGAGCTGGGGGAGGAGCTAAGGGTTGCGTTCACAACCTTCACTGAGGATCACTACATGAGGATCACTACACAAGGAAAGGTTCTTTTTCTCATTTTCACATTACATAGTGTAATACAACTTAGTTTATATTAATTGTTTTGAACTGTGTACTTATCACTATTTTTAACAGTTGCTGCTTTTATTCTGCTGCATTATAGACTCTGCTCTTTGAATCAGGTGATACTTACAAATTTTGTACATTTTTGTGTATTACAAGACAATTTGAATTTTGGCGGGAAAGAAAAGTGTTCTTAAACTTAATCCTAATCTCATTTGCCTAAACAAGATATTGAGATAAATTAGGTGTTTGAAGAGCAGAGACCTGATTCTGCAGCAGTTCCCACAGTCTGAACAAGGTCCTGACTGTTTACCAATACCACATTTCAATTAACCAACCCCTTTTTGACATCTGCTGCTTAACTAGTATTTGAAGTTGCAGCAAACGTTATTATCATCAGGCCTTTTAACCATTTCCACTTATTTCAGGGAAGGACCCTCACAGTCTGAATGTGTCTGTGGGGACAACCAGCTTCACACAGAGCTTCTCTGTGAAGGACGTCATGTGAAACCAGAAGTCCAATAATTACCATACTCGGTGACATAGCATGCCAACGAGACCAAACATTGTCCTTCCCACTTCCTGTTTTGAATTCTGTTAAAAAATGCCTTCTGATAAGGATGTTTTTTTTTAAGGACGGATGAGGAGAAGCCCGGTCGAGCACTGTTAACACGGGAGCTCTTTGTCAAATACTGTATATGTTAGAGAGCCATATAGGGCCAAGTGGGTACATTGGAAGTTTTTTGTTTTGACCGTACATAGGGTTTGAATATAATGTGCCAATGATGGAGCTCAGAGATCACTTCATATTTTCGAAGTCTGACATTTATTGGCTCTTTCATGTTCTTGGATTTATCTTTATACCTTTAATCTCCAGGGCTTTATGTGCATAAAGAATCTAATCCAAGCCCTGGATGTTATTATAGGACAAAGGTGAGATGAAATTAAATATGTAAGATGTATTTGGAATAGATTCTAGATTCTTCTTCTGTGCCTCATGCTTCAACAAAAACCAGTGTACGTTGCTTTTCCCATGTCTCTGTGTGTGTTTAGACCCTGATAACGCCCCACCATTCCCTCTGTTAGAGAAAACCAAAACACCAAGACAAGTATTTCCATCAGTAAAGAGTTAAGCCCCTGTTGACGTCTGCCCCATCAATCAACATGCTGTTTGTACCAGGGGAGGGGGGGCTGTAGTCTAAAGTAAATTATTTACCCCTGGACACATGGAACTACTCAACCAAACTCAGTTCCTGCGATAGTTTCTCTGCATTTTTGTGCTAATGTTTTGCACTGATTTGTTATTTGTCTGAGCTTTTCTATTTTTAACCCCGAAACTGAGGTAGAAATGAAGCAACACCCACTACTCTGTGTGATGTATTAAAGTGTGTTTTTCTGCATCTGAAATTGTGCATTTGACAAAGCTATTTTTAATAATAAATAGTTCATATGTATTTAGATAGATAGATAGATAGATTTCCCTTCAGTTCTTTTTTTATCTAAGGAAATTATACCGACCTCTAGAAACAGGATGTGTGTGAAGAATGAAACTGATACGGAGATGTGTAATTTGGTTCTTATCAAGATACACTCCTCTCAGGAGATTCCCTCAGGGCTAAACATCGTTTTATTTAATTGGAATTACTGGAAAATAAATGGTCACAGACTTGACCCAGAAAATGATCTTTTAAATACAGACCCAACTTGGCCTTGGTGCAGGCTGAAGCCAAACTTTATGGTTCTGGTCATATTGGAAATTATATATTATTTGAAACACCTAACTTATCCAAAAAGTGATTAACAAATAATATCCTGCAGCTGGAAATGTTTATTATTTTAAACTTTTTTCGGCTTCACAGGTCTCTGCAGCTATAAGCAGCTCTGTAGGTGAGGACCGTCCAAACAAAGGTAACTGAAAACAAAGTTCGGAGCCACACCCAGGCAGCAGCTACACTCATTTCACTGTCAATGGACCTTAATGTGTATCATTTACAGGTGAAAAGCGTGTCGCGGTCACATGACTTTTCTCTCTCTTCTCGGCTTTCATTCAATGAATCTCCCTGCTCCAAGTTCACCCTGTAATCCAGTGATCTCTGTTTTTCTCTTCAACAACACTGGGACTGCTCACACAACACAACACAAAGCTGCTCCACTGGCTCGGCCCGATTCCCGCTGTGACGCCACCAGTGCCTCTCAACTGAAGAAGTAACACCGGAGGAGTTTACAAAGAATGATAATGGCAAAAAGGAGCTGACGGGAGTCTTGGATAAATCTCAGAAACCAGGAGACATCATTGTACAAGTGCTGTTCCAGGTGTGTTTTTAAATACTCGTGTGTGTGTGTGTGTGTTTCTTTTATCGCTCTCCAACTTTTGTTTGAACTTCTGCTGCCCTCACAGCTCCCTCTCCTCCTGCTCCATATCTCTGCTGCGTTTGAACACATGTGCGTCTGAGGCTCCCTCTGTTCCCAGTCCAGAGAGAGCGGGGGCTTGTGTGTTTCTAATTGGCCTTTGAACAAAACTGCCTGTTTCCGGTGTTCTGTGGGACACAGAGAGCGTGTGTAGTGATTTCGGGAGGCTCCTCCTGTAGGCATCTCGCAGGATGTGTGAATAGGAGAAGCCCACATCGGCTTCACACTCGGCCGAGTGAAGACCAGCCTCAGTGGAGGAGCAGCAGAGGAGCAACACTGAGGAGTTTCTGTCTTTAACAGAGACACACACACATACACACACACAGAGGAGTTTCTGGTTCTTCATCATCTCTATTCAAAGCATGGGCACAGAGGGGAATAAGCCGAAGACCTACGTGTCCACCTTCAGACTGGCCATCAAACCTCAAAGCCGACCCGTCAGCGCACAGAGGTCAGAACAGCCGAACGGACTGGGAGCTAGAAATGTGTTGTCGATGGGAAACAACAAGCCGGGAATGTCGTCTGCAACAGGTAAACAATAGGAAAGTCGGTTCACTGGGCACTTTGGAATGCAGTGTTGATGAAGATGAGTCTTTAAACTAACCACAGCTTTACAGTCCAGTGACCCCTGCTGGGTGTCATTTTAAGTCTGTTGAAGTGTCACAATGGCCTGTTAGAAAAACCAGGAGAACCTCTTCCAGTGTACACACAGTACCGATGCACATGGACAGTGAGGTGAACGTCCCTCAGGGCCTCAGCACTTGTGCAAACATCAGTCCGGGCTCCAGCTTTTGAAGCAAACATTTTGAAATTAACTTTTGTTTTTTTAAAATGTCGTTTCGCAATAGGCAGTGTAGTGAGGTACATCAGAGGACTGGGGTTGCATGCAACACACACATTAACACACACACAGATGACATTCCGGCATGGGCTGATGACGCCCCCTTGCTCAGCCCTCTGGACATTTCAGTGCCACATGTGCAAACAAATGCGTGGTGGGAAATTTTTGGACACGGTGTGTTGAATTCTTGTCACTAGTGGTCACAATTGACCATTGTGTGACTGATGAAGTGTCAACAGCAACAGAGCTAGTCTGCACAGATGACAGGAATGATGTGTTTTTGTTTAAAGGAGTTCAGAGAGTCGTGGACGTGTCTCTGGGAGTCAAGAACATTGTAGTTCTCAAACATTGTCGTCCTCCCACACACACACACAAACACAATTTAAAATTTATTATTTGTTGGACAGAGGCAGCACACATCTGTCTCTCTTTAGGGAGGGTTTCTTGAGTTTTATGTTTTCCATAATTCTCCTCCAAACGTGGAGTTCTGGTTATGCGTCATCTGACAATTTGACCAATGTGTGTTTTATCTCAAGATTCTCCTTGAAATACTTCAGTCTGGTTTGGAGTTGTATTTTTAGCAGAAGTCAAGTGTTTTTTGGCCTGTGTTGGCATCACCTTTTTTTTTTTTTGTCATGATGCTTTGAAAACAAACAGCTCAAACTCTAAACTAACGTCTAACATTCGGGGTACACCTGGAAACAAATAATAAAAAACATTAAATTATATTACCTCAATGAAACAATAAAAATTATTAGTTATTTTAAAAAACAGTTAGGGGCCCAAATGATAATTTTGCATTTGATCCTAAAAGAAATGTAAGTTCTATTGCACACAAACACTATTGCTGTGAGTCAGCATTCTCACTAATCACTTCTTTTGTTCTTGTTCTCCTAATGTCCGTTAAGAAACCAGATGGACACCAGCACAGAGCCTTGCAGCACCCCACTTCAAGGAACCGCTCCGGGACTGTACCGCGTGGGAAGGAAGTGATGCCAAATTCCAAGCAGTTATCACAGGAAGTCAGCCTCTGACTACTTCCTGGCAACACAATGGTAAGTGACCGGTCAACACACCTTGGACACTGAAGGTAACGAACGTTCACAATAAACCCTTTGCTCTAACCTTGTGTAGGCAAGAAGATGCTTTTGAGCAAGACGTCCTTCAAAAGTGGCGTGGCCTCTCTGGTTCTGAGTCACTGTTTACCTGAAAATGCTGGGACGTACACCTGCACAGCTGAGAACAGTGCTGGGAAACAGTCGTGCAGTGCTGTGTTACATGTCAAAGGTAAGTAAATATTGGTGTGAGACAATACAGTATACAGCAATAAATACAATAAAATGTCAAATAATAGAGGTAGGTTTGAGGCAGATAATCAATAATTAGAATTAGGGTTCCTTTGACAATTTAGTTGTTTTCAACCTATTATTATTTCATTTTTTAAAATTATGATTAAAAACACCTTACACAGTCGTAAACAACTTTCCTGATTATAAATGGAGTTCAAATAAAATGCAGCATATAAAAATATCTCAGCTGGTGCATCTTGAATGACGGCTGTGACTATGTGACCGGACAAGTGACAGCTACTAAAATGTCTGTGGGGAAATTTGTGATGTCACAATGGGATCACCAGCCAAAAAGGTTATGAACCACTGCTTCAGTGAGCACTTGGGAAATATTTGCATGATACTCCTTATTCTAGATAAAGGTTCCAGCAGGTTTATGATTAATTCCAACTGATGCATTCTTAATCTGGGGTCAGGTGATGTCATCAGAGGCATGTTTGCCAAACATTACATGGCGTGGTGTGAATGTCCAGTGTAAGCTGTATTTAAAAAAAGAAAAGAAAAAGAAGTCACTCTGCATTACTGTGTGTGCTGTAAAAACACTTCACTCTGTTTGGAAAGGAACACCAACAAAGGAAATCCACAGAACAAACAACTGCGAGCGGAAGAGAAAGGTTGAGTGCAAGCCGACAGCAGGGGAACACACAGAACCACTTTCGGTTTGTAAAGGTAGGAAGCAACACATAATAATTCTTGGCAAGTATGTTGTATTCAAGGTTTACTGTCAAGTTTATTTATGATCGTGAAGAAGCAATTAAGCACAGATGTACTAGAGTCACGATGCAATCTGACTCACGTACGTTGGATAAAATAGTGCCTCAGTATCTGTAAGTTATGAATATACAGTATATATATGGTCTGTTTTACATATCCTGAAGTAATTGTGTTTTTCATCAATTCCTGCAAGTATTACAGCGTTGTGTTCAACTAAACGGGCCCAGCTTTCATACTCATTAAGTAAATTGTGAGCAAATGGAAATAGATTTGTCTTATGTAAAATGTGTGTCGTGGCTCAAACCAATGAATTTGCAATCATTCCATTTTTTATTAGCTAAATCTAAATTAAATTCCCTAGTGCCAATGAAAAGATTGAAATAATTTTATTTTTTGACAGCATGTTGTTTGCAGTATGCGTCACTGCAACCAAGCATGACCTCTGACACATGATTGGTCAGATTCTCCTCAACTTCCTACAACCTAACTTCCCACAGCCTAACTTCCTCCTCTGAGTCCACCTTCTTCCCTCTTCTCCACAGACATCAGAGACCTCAGCCTTCAAACAAAAACCCCTGTTCGCAAAGGTGAGTAGAGAACGATGCAGCTCCAGAGTTAGAAGAATCATTTAGTCATTTAGTCTCCAAGTCTGACTCCCTGCTCCTCCTCCAGGACCTGCTGTGGAGTTTGTTGACCCTCCTGAGCAGGTGGAGGCCCGGTTGGGAGAGCAGGCCCGGCTCCTCTGTGAGTTCAGGAGCAGCTGTGTCCCTGTGGCCTGCTGCTGGATTTATAACAGAGACAAAGTAAGAGGACTGAGCACCCGGTGGTTCACGGTGGTTGGGGTCAAACTGCACTGTGGCGACTTCATTCCTTCACTCTCCTTCTCCTGCTCCTCAGGTGGTAGTTGGAAGTTCACGCATGTCTGTCATGAATGGTAAAACGCAGAGCAGCGTGGAGATTCCTCAGGCCTGCATGGAGGACACCGGCTCCTACACGGTCATGGTTCGAAACCGAGAAGGCTCTGCACAGCACACGGTCTCCCTCAGCGTCATAGGTGAGGCTCAACTGTGGTTTCACTTCTGCTTTAGCAGGTTAATGTACATTTTAATGTCTTGGTGAATGAATCAGTTTTTAGGTTTTTGTGATAAATTGTTATTTTGCTTCTTTGAAATCCATTTCCTTATTCTAATGTTAATTATCATCGACACTGAAATTACACACATGTTTATTTATACAATTTATATTAGATATTTAAATGTTATATAAAAATATGATGTATGTTTTAGGTGCAAAGAGTGCCAGAGAGATTTTGAAAAAATTGACCAATGTTCACCCTTGATAATTAGTTTAATTGCTTTGATTGGTCTGAAAAACCACAGTAACTCGATTAATGCAACAGCCCAACTGTCCCACTAATTTTTCACAGTAAAAACCAAAACTTCAAAGCTTCTGCTTCAGTTACTCTAAACTCCCCCCCAGGTGTGACATACAGTAGATACACAGTCAGATTAAAAATCACACATTTTCCCGTATAATGAACCAGTGCCTGAAGGCAGCTCAGGAACATGCCGTCAGCAGGTTCTGCTTCAGGTCTGGACTTGTCATGTGATTCCTGCCCAGACATGGCAGAGGAGCATGGGACGCAGCTCTGAACTTTATGGGGACGCCACTTCCCCTGACACGGGGAACTGCACCGCATATATGGGGAAGTTTTAATCTCCTGCACGTTGTCGAGGCAACAGATATGATCTGTAGACACATAATGCAACCTATATGAGCAGGAACAAAACAACATCATATCTATATAGGGAACCTTAAGCAAATAATATATTCTAGGACTTATTTCATGTTAAAGCCTTTGAAATCTTTAATTTTCCACTTTTCCTCAGACCGGCCCGATCCTCCTGCGTCCCACCCTGTTGTTTCCAAACTGTCCTGCAGGTCTTTGGTTTTGTCCTGGACCGGTCCCAGCTACGATGGGGGCACCGCAGTGCTGGGCTACATCATAGAGGTGAGACGGGACGACCTGGGAAAGTCAGGGAACTGGACCGAGATAACAAACAACTGCAAAAACACATCGTACCACGTCCGCTCCGGCCTGGAGCCTCAGGGCAAATACCACTTCAGGGTCAGAGCTTACAACTCTGTAGGGGTCAGTGAACCCAGCCAGGAGTCTGACTGTGTGGAGATGGCAATGTCGAGTGAGTGATTTGGAGTTTAGCAGCGGTGACGTGACATTATTACAGGTTTTCTGATTGATTATTTTGTTTTTGTGTGTAAAGAGACAAAGAAGGAAGAGCCCGAGACGTACGTCATAGTTGACACACAGCACAAGGTCAAAGATCACTATCATGTTCATGAAAAGCTGGGAGTGTAAGTGGAACTAAAAGAAATAAGAACAGTAGCTATCTTTAAAATGAGACCAGGAATTACTGACAGTTCTTTATTTTCATCTTTGTCCAGTGGGAAGTTTGGTCAGGTTTTCCGGATGTCCCATAAAGAAAGTGGTGAAGTGTGCGCCGGAAAGTTCTATCAAGCTCGGACTTCCAAGGACAAAAAGGCAGCTCGCAAGGAAATGGAACTCATGAACTTCCTCCATCATCCAAAGATTGTTCAGTGTCTGGCTGCCTACGACACGCGGTCAGAGATGGTCATGGTCATGGAATAGTGAGTGAATGGCTACGAAGTGGCATTTATTTGATGTTTTACGGTACATATATGATGCATAAATGTGTATAATATGCTACATTATACATAAACAATAAATGTTAGTTATTTGATAGGTGTATTCATATGCTTAATTTTACTTTTATACCTGAACAAAATGTCAAAAAAATCTAAATAAAAAGATTCATATTTAAAATATATAAAACTCCATAGTGCATTTAGTGGCATTTCTGTTGGACAAGAAAACATGAACACACCTCAGGGTATTTTTGGACATATCACCTGAATAAACGTGTCCAAATGTTTGATCCTCTCTGCTCAGCATCGCAGGCGGAGAGCTTTTTGAACGCATCGTGGATGAGACCTTTGAGCACACGGAGCCCACCAGCGCCCGCTACATGCAGCAGATCCTGGAGGGCATGCAGTACATTCACAAGCAGAACATAGTCCACCTGGACCTCAAGCCAGAGAACATCGTCTGCGTAGACACAACGGGGACGAGGATCAAGATCATCGACTTCGGCTTGGCGAGTAAACTGGGTGAGTTTGGGGACTATACACAGGGTATGTATGTTAAAAACTCCCATTATTACCTCAGGAGGGATTTAATGTTCGCAACATAAATAAAAATGGTGACCATGAGAGTTAGAATGTCTGAAATCTTTTAATTGCTCACTCGGGATATGTGTGGGTGTGTCCATTCTCAAAGATAACATATTTATTTGGCTGAAGTGCACAAGAAACAAAAATACCCAAATTCCTTTTAAGGACATGAGCTGCCAGCGTGGTGAGTGCTCTGGTTTCTATAAAATCAGAAAATATCCAGAATCAAGTACTTCCAAATATGATGAGTACTCTGCAAAACCTCTGTTTATTTTTTGATTTGTCAAAAGGGAAAATTGGTGAAGTGGGAGAATCTTCTTCTTTTTCTTTTGGCTTTGTCCCTTTTTTTTCAGGGGTTGCCACAGCAGATCATTGATTTCCACCTCTCCCTGTTCTCTGTATCTTCTACTCTGACTCCAACTATCTGCATGTCCTCCCTCACTACATCCATATATCTCCTCTTTGGCCTTCCTCTCTTTCTCCTACCTGGTAGCTCCATCTCTAACATTCTTCTACCAATGTATCCACTGTCCCTCCTCTGCACATGTCCAAACCATCTCAATCTGGCTTCTCT